TCAACCCCAATCTGGTTGGAAAATAAAACGCTTTGTCTCCACAACCACCCCCCACCGCACCCCCACCCGCTCTCAGTGTGTGTTTTATACGTGTGTATATCTCAACCCCCTACAGTAGCCAAGAGAAAGCAGCTAGCCAATGAGAGAGCCCAGTTTCATAAAAGCTGCTCTCTGATTGGCCCGATGCGAAAGGGCATTGGGAACAAAGAAAAGTCCCTTTCAGGTATAGAGGCTGAGAGCTTCTTTTGCTCCACTCCCCCTGTGTGTGTGTTGTGTTTCAGTCCTGATTTCAGTGTTGCAGAACAAGCTTGTTGTGTGTGTGCACCAGGGGGATTTTTGTTTTGCTTTTTTTTAATTTTAATTTTTTCTTTTATAAAAAATACACAGGACGGTCTGTGACATTTGATGGTCCATCTTCTTTAATAATAAATTTGTTGAAGAGATTATAATTTCCAAAATAAAGCGGCTGCAACCAAACACATTCAATGCAGTTAGAAGGAAAAGGTCAACTCGATCCAATACAGACCGTAAGTACGGTTGCGTGGTGTGTCTCTATATAGCACTTAGTGGGGACTTCATGCAGGGGAATGTGAGAGTTTTATGCATAGAAATGAGGAACTAGTTACAGGGTTTGGCTTTTGCATTTAGAACAACAACCCAAGAAGGGTGAATTTTGTTCAGTAGAGGGTGAAGCATTTTTAAGTTCACACAAATTAAGCTTGACTCGGCACTCGGAGTAACTTGGAGTAAATTAGCTTTTGGGCTCTAACCCAAAGGAGAATAAAAGTGACACAGTTACATATCCTGGTCTGCAATGTCAGTTCTCTAGCTCACCTTACTCCCTCCCTCTCCTGTCCTAGCTCGGCAGACCACCCCCACTTCCAAACCGATCCAGGAAAATGGGGGCAAGGGCAGAACAAGCCGATTTCTGTCTCCTGTCAGATCCCAGTGCCCGATAATTTAATATTAAACAAGGGAATAGTCACTCATTACATGTAATGGTTATAATTACCATTCGCCATCCCCTTAAAAAAGCAAGCAACAAAAATACCATTAAGAGAAAAAATAAAAGCCCCACCCAACCCAAACAAACCCACAAATAGTAACAATGGTGTGTTTATTACAGGATCAGGCTGGGGAGCAAGCAAAAGGTTTTTCTTTGTTTAAGTACATGTAGTGGGGGTCCCTAAACTCCAAGTAGCTCTGAGGTACCCTTCCCCCTCCCCCAGCCGTCCCCGTCCCTGGCCCCTTGGGAAAGCCGACAAATTGGAAATAAGTTGAGGAAAGGTTTATAAAGTGTTTCTTTAAAACATCTGCTTCGCTCTTGTGCTCATTACATTTCACTCCTTCCGAACTTCGGAGATCCTAGATCTCCGAGAAATGTTTCACATTCATAACTTGTAGCTTCGCCCACTGCGGGGGGGCGGCGGGGGGAGGAGGTGGGGGAGTGTGTGCAGGGGGAGGGGAAAGACCTTCAGCTTTTTTTTTAAAGACCAGATCAGTATTTTCTTGATACGCTTGTCACCATTTTTGTTCTCACGACAACCAATTGAGCCCTTGATCCTCACGTGATGTGAAAGGCTTGCACTGTAACAAAATCGCTCCTTTTAGATGGTTGGTTCTTACTAACTCGCCCATCCCCCTCTCCCGGCCCCGACATTTCCAGCAAAGCGACTCTCTACTTCCAATCCATCAACAATTCATTACTGCTTTTAGCTTCCAAACGCCAGCTAATTAAAAATACTAAGCCAAGCTCCAGGGCCATCTGACTAAACACAGGAGGGGGTGGGCGAGAGGAGGAGGAGGAGGAAAGAAAAAATAAATAAAAGGGAGACACTCCGTTGGCTGCGAGTATAAGAGGGAAAAACTCCTGAAAAAGGTCGCTTTTAAAAAAACCAAAAACCTTTTTTTGACTCTAATTATCGAATTACCACATGACTGATTGACCTGAGCGACAGAGGATTCCACCCCCCTCGGGAACTATACTAGGAACTCGGTTCCTTTTTCTTAAAACAACATAAGACAGGAAAACATCACATCCTTTAGGTTTCGAAGACTGAGCCCATTTTAAACGCCGTTATTTTCCCCACCCCGCCGCCCCCCGCCCCGAGCGAATGCTGTTATAACTGGTTTATCAGCTCACTGACTGAATCATCTGCTCCCTCCTCCTCCACACCTTTCTTTTTCTCCTCTTGCCCCGCTTCTCATCCCACCCTTTCTTCCTCCTCCTCTTCCCTCTCTACTCCCCCCTCCTTTTCTCTTAAGTTAGTTCAAGAAATCAAATCTGTCAGGACGGGCGGAAAAATGCCACTTCCCGACTAACAGGCGGAATCCAGCCCAGATTTTCAGTCCTTTCTTCTTATTCTTTCTTCCCTTTCACTAATTTATCCCGATGTTAGCACATTCTGTCTTGTTACTAGCGGACGCCTGTAGGTTTGCTACATGGGATCATTACTGATCACGGTGACTCTGAAGTCTGGAACTGAAGGCGGAATGAGAAGTTGGGAAAACTTTTTTCTCTAAACTCTCTGTTTTTTTAAAAAAACTATTATTCTCGATGCTTGTTAAGAGGAAAAAAAAAACCTTTGGTGCTTCTGTTGTGAATGTGAAACATTATCTTCCAGCTGTACAGTGACACTTTTTTTTTTTTTTTTAAGGAGAAAAGGACGGATCCGCTTGCCAAAAGGGGGGTGGGGAGATGGAATAATGTTATCGAGTGATTATTCTGGCTGAGATGTGTTATTTGGTTTCTTCCTTCTTGATCATTTGGTGTTTAAGTAAAATGAGGCACAGGCTTGTTTGCCGAGTGGAGTGGGAAAGGCATTTTGATTTGCTGGCCTAATTAAAAATGATAAAGGATTAAAAGGTAAGCAATGTCTGTGTGTGTGTATGTGTGTGTGTATGTATATTTATTTATTTTTTTTCTTGACAATCAACTGTTAAAAAGGGGCTGATCCCTTTAAAAACCGTTTTAACTGCTCTTTGTCAAACACACACTCATTTGCGGTCATTGAGGCCACCTTGGCGCAGATCACTTAAAGTGTATGTCTTAATCAGTTTTCCGTACAGTCAGTAGCACCATATTTAACAGAGTGAGCAATTCTGTGACCTAGGAATACGGTAGAATTGTTTAAATGTATTTTTTTCTCAAAAGGCAGATATTTAACTTTTTATATAACACTGTCTTTTCTAGAGGGAAATGCTCTTAAAGACCTATACGTATATTTCAAAAAAAAAAAAAAAATTATATAAGCTATTGGGGAAAAGAGGATAGGAGGGAGGTTTGTGTGTGTGTTGGGGGGGAGTTATTGGTTGTTTTTTCTGTTCCTTACTAGGAACAAAAACCAGATTGCCCAGACAATTTGTAAAAAGGAGTACAGAAACCTAAAATTAGATATAAGGAAAATTTAGCAACATTCTATTCTGAAAACTAGCCTCAGAACTTCCAGGGTCTGGTCTTTTAAATTGCAAGATCTAGGACATGTTTAGGGATGTTTAAAGCTGTGTTCTTCTTTCTTGTCTGAGTGTTCAGGCTGTGTTTCTGGGGTTGAGATATCACATGTGCCAGACAGAAATCCTAAACTTTAAAAAAGAACACAAAAACCTTTCTGGACTGGAATCAGATCCTTAAGATAATTTAATGCTTTTAAAAAGGTAATTATCCTTGTGTTGTTGATAAAGGGATTTTCCTTTTAGCTACCGTAAGATGCGTACTGTCATGGGTTTATTTTTCGGGTTTGGTTATTTTCCTTTAAACCTGATATTGTACTGTGGAGACAATACATGAGCCACCTTACTCTCCATCCTTCCCTGTCCCCCTTACTGACTCCCCAATACTAATCGTTTTTTATTCTGGTAACACCCAGACAAGAAATATTCGACTTTTCCCCCCTTCACAGGAAAAGGTGGACCTGGACTGAGGGTGTAAAATCCCTGGACACATTCGTGGGGCAGGAAAAAGAAGAGGAAGATTAGAAGATTTTTTTTTCTTTGAGAGAAAGCCCAGCGGAGATAAACGAATGTCCCCTCATCTCCAAAGGAAAGTTCATCGGATTTTTATTCTAGAGAGCTCATCTTCAGGATGTCAGTGAACATTTCTACTGCAGGAAAAGGTGTGGATCCAAATACAGTTGATACTTATGACAGTGGCGATGATTGGGAAATCGGGGTTGGAAATTTAATAATTGATTTGGACGCTGATTTGGAGAAGGACAGACAGAAATTTGAGATGAATAATTCCACCAACACCACTAGCAGCAGCAACTCCAAGGATTGTGGAGGTCCGGCCTCCAGTGGGGCTGGTGCTACCGCAGCCTTAGCTGATGGCCTAAAATTTGCTTCTGTTCAGGCCTCTACTCCCCAGGGGAATTCACACAAAGAGACCAGCAAATCAAAAGTGAAAAGGAGTAAAACTTCTAAGGATGCTAATAAATCTCTGCCTTCTGCTGCCTTGTATGGGATTCCCGAGATTAGCAGCACTGGCAAGAGGCAGGAAGTCCAAGGGCGCCCTGGAGAGGCAACTGGCATGAATTCAGCGCTGGGTCAAAGTGTGAACAGCGGCGGCAGCGGCAGCTCAAACAGCAATAGTACCAGCACCAGCACCTCTGCCGCCACCGCGGGGTCAGGCTCCTGTGGGAAAAGCAAAGAGGAGAAGCCAGGTAAAAGCCAGAGCAGCCGAGGCGCCAAGCGGGATAAGGATGCGGGGAAATCCAGGAAGGACAAGCACGACCTGCTTCAGGGCCACCAGAATGGCAGTGGCGGCCAGGCCCCTTCTGGGGGGCACCTCTATGGCTTTGGGGCCAAGAGCAATGGAGGTGGCGCGAGCCCCTTCCACTGCGGGGGCACTGGGAGTGGCAGCGTCGCCGCTGCAGGGGAAGTTAGCAAAAGTGCCCCGGATTCAGGGCTCATGGGAAACGCTATGTTGGTAAAGAAGGAAGAGGAGGAGGAGGAGAGCCACAGGCGAATCAAGAAACTGAAAACTGAGAAGGTAGGATAAAGTCGCCTTCCTAGATGTCCTACTCTCCTCTGTGTGCATTTGTGTGGGTGTGTGGTGGGGGTGTGCCTCTGTGTGCCTTACACTTCTTTATACTTTCTGGTTCTTTGTGAGAATTCTGTGGTATGCATCTTTTATATTAAAATTTGATACGGGGGAGCTTACTTGGGTGCAGTGTTTGGCTCTTGCTTCTGCTGTCCTTGCTGCTGTTGCTGCTGCTGCTTGTGATGCTAGTGTTTGGGTTCCCAGGTGGGAGGGCCTGAGTGTTCGAAGTACCTTTTGCCCAGTAGATCGGTTCCTCACTAGTCAGCAGGTTGCCGTGTGCTTTTAATAGAAAACCTGCTCATGTACCCTCTTGACTCTTGTCCTGGTTTCTTCCTTAAGGGGAACATTTTTCCATTTTAATTTATTCATCCTAGTATTGCTGGTAATGTGTCCTTAGGTGCAAGGTTCAAGTTTCCTCCCCCAGAGGAATGTCGAGGATTCTAATTTACATTCTACCCTCATCCCATTATTTTTGTTGTTGTTGTTACTGTCTGCAAAATAGTACTGTGAATGGGTATCCTTGAATGAGTTCTTGTTGTTGGTCCTGAATTAGACCCCAAGCTTGATGTGTTGGGTCATTGGTTTCATAACTGCACAAAAACTGGATGGTTTTCCTGGCTGTTAGCACTCTACCCTTGTTCCCTCACCCAGTTCTTAGCTAGAGATTTAAGAGTGTTATCACTTGGATACCTAGCTTGACTGGGGAGCTGCTAAGAAGAATAAAACAGACTTGCTGGACTGATACTTGTGAAATGTGCAAGCATAGCCAAAGGGGATGTAGACGGTTGAGTGAATCGGAGTACTAGAATGATGTGTTGCGTTTGAACGGTTGTGGATAGTTGATTTAGGCCGTTTGGACCCTTCCTCCCATCTTTGTACAAGTCTGTAGTTATACGCTGCCTTGGAAGAAGTGCCCGCCCCCACCCCCAACGCAGGTGGTGCAGCTTAGTCATAGACCGCATTGACTAATGTTTGGAGAAAAAAGGTGTTCTGTCCGCTAGGCAGGTTGGGAAGGAGTCAGGGGTGTGTGTGATATTTCTGTGAAATTAATCTTCAGATTAATTCTACAGGTCGTGCCTTGCAGAAGATTTCTGTCATGTGGGTTGTGGCATGGTTGTTTGGGAACATGCTTATTAAATAATTTTTTTTTTTGGCTATAGTTGGCGATTGGGATCGTAAGTGGCGATAATATGTCTTTGGAGAATTATTTCCGTGTAAAATTGTTCACTGCTGCTGAAACGTTTATATTCTTGTTTTCGTGTTCAGGATTTAAGTTGGAGTGTAAGAGTAAAGTTCTGATTTTTAGAAGTTGAGAGCGAGACATTAAGATGTAGATAATGCCAAATTTGCAAAAAGCTTCCAAACACTTATAAATTCATGCCCTCTTGGGCGGGCAGAATTTGTACACTGATGAGTCTAAATGAATCTTTAAAAATTCCAGGTTTTGATTCTTATGTTTAAACGTGTAGTTTCCCATTATTTCTGCTAAAAGGCGTTCTGAAATCTTCTTATTACTTAGTACAGTAGGGCATTTACTTTTGTTGCCAATAGTCTTCAAATTGCAGTTCTAATCTGCTTTAACTATCTAGATGAATTGCCCTAATCCAGTGCTCACAATGGCTGTGGTTAAGGAGTCAGAGCCATTTGATTGGATTCACTGGCTGCTTGGAATGTGGGAGGTACTGCCCTTTTGCATTCCCCTTAGCCTTTTAATCTTCCAGCCAAATGTTCACATTCAACAATTTTGTTTAGCTGGCAATCGGAACATTTCAGTATCTCAAAGGCTGCTGTCATGGCAACTGAGATTAGAGCGTGGTGTCGTTTCTCCAGTTTTTTTGTGTTCTTTTCACTTTCCAGTCACAGAGGAAACTGGATGAAGAATGAAAGAATTAAATTATTCATATACATGCAACTCATCTTCAGTTAGAGCAGCATAAATGTGATAAATATGAATTACATAAATGAAGAGCAAACAAGTCAGAGTGGATCCGGAGTGGGGGAGGGGAGAAAGCACATTGCAATTTAGATTCACTTCTGGTCCTATACCAGAGGAAGCTGTGCCACCAATCTTAGCCACTGGAGTTGGCACAGGGGCCCCTCAGAGGCTTGGATCCAGGGGCTTGGGTCCTGCAGTGCTGGCCGTTCTCTGTCCAGGGGCGTTGGCTCAGGATCTCAAACCTTATTCCTTAAGGCTTTCCTCCCCACCCCCACCTCACCCTGAGAATGACTTCCCTTAAGAATGCTTTCAGGGCCTGGTGGGGTGGCTCATGCCTGTAATCCCAGCACTCTGGGAGGCCGAGATGGACAGATCACCAGAGGTCAGGAGTTCAAGACCAGCCTGGCCAACACAATTATACTTTGTCTCTACTAAAAAGTACAAAAATTAGTTGGGTGTGGTGGGAGTCGCCTGTAATCGCAGCTACTTGGGAGGCTGAGGCTGGAGAATCGCTTAAACCTGGGAGGCGGAGGTTACAGTAAGCCAAGATTGTACCACCGCACTCCAGCCTGGGTGACAGAGAGAAACCGCATCTCAAAAAAAAAAAAAAAAAAAAAGTGCTTTCATCCTTGGCACACAGAAATGGCACTCTCTTGCATGAATGCCACCCAGGAAAGTAACTCTAATTCCACTAAGTAGTGGTTGTGTTGAATTAGGCATCAATTTGGAAAATACTTCTTATTGATATGAGGATACCTATTTAGGAAGTAAAGATTTAGTAGGACAAGAAGCTTCACCTAGAAAATTATTTCAACACTGAGGTTTTTTGACATTTTATACAATGTTTTAATTTCCTTCAGCCTTGCTTGATTATCTGGGTTTGTGAAGAGTAAGTGCCTTGAGAGTGAAGATTATTAATTTTCAGCAATCAGATGTGGCTCATGAGGGGGCCACATGTGAAAACCAAAGGGGAGTGTATGTGTGTGTGCATTTTTTTTCCAATTGGAAGGTTCACAGGAGATTCATAAGACTTGCTGTCACCGGTTAATTTTCGCAGCATGCTTAAATGTCTATTTTTGGTCTGTTTATTCTGTTTCTTCACTACACAAAGTCATGTAAAACATGATAAATTGGACCTTATGAAACCTAATTAAATCAATGACTGTTCTACTCCTTTATGTGGAAACCACAAGTATGTTGTAAAAGTTGCCACTCCCTTAATACGTGAACAAAATGAAAACATACCATAATTCTAAGATGTTTGAGCTCTATTTCTATAACCCATTTTGTGGTTAAGCCACCAGTGACATGTCTGAATAAGTAGGTTTGACGGCTGGCTTTTGGTTGTTAAAACCTGCCTCTCTACCTTCCCCTCCTTTCTTGTGAAGTATAATGGCATTGTATTGAAACTCTTTATGTATCCTCCTTAGCCATCTTACAGTTCTGACTTAGATAGGGAGGCATTCAGCTGGGCTAACTAAATAGTTTACAGAGAGTTGATGGGTTTATTTGATTTCTGGAAAATTCAAAAATATATACAAAAACTCAAAAATCTTGAAAGCAACTGATACTTAAACAGAAGTGAAAGGCACAGGAGGTGATATAGTTGTGTCTCAATACCTATTCAGAGAAGAGAATTATTTCTGTAATATCATATTGCTTTCATTAAGATGGCCCTGGTCATAAAGGTGGTATCTACAAATGGACCTGTTCATAAAGGATATCATTCATTTTATTTTATTCTTTTGTAGAGGCATTTTTATACTTCACCAGGGAATTCTGGCACATTTTCTAAGTGAGTGTGAGCAATTCAAGAACATATTTTGATTAATGAGTTTTGTTTTTTCAAATATAGTGTCCTATATGAATTCTACTTAGAGAGTCTAGTGTATCTACTGTGAAATAAAAGGGCAGGAAGGTCACTTGCTATGATTAAAGAACAAAGTCCATTGTTGTCAGACAGCAAACTGTTCTGAAAGCTACATAAGGGATTTAGCTGTTAAAAACGTTGGTAAATAAGGGTGGCTTCCAATCAGCATTGATCCAGCACCTTACTTTTCTATAGGTTGACTGGGCTTTCTGAGGTAGGGAGGGGCTGTCCTTTCCCCAAGAACCCACAGAACTTAGGTATTTGTGTGATGAGACCTATCACTAAATTCTGGCTTTAGTATGTGAAACCTGTTAACTTTGCTGGAGAGAGAAGGAATACACATAACTCATCAAGATTGTCCTGTAGGAGATAGTGTTTTGCAACTTTTAATAACTTTGTAAACAGTCTGTTAAAAACAGTGGGGGCAGGGAAGCAGGTGCGGTGGCTCCTGCCTGTAATCTCAGCATTTTGGGAGGCTGAGGCGGGTGGATTGCCTACGATAAGGAGTTCGAGACCAGTCTGGCCAACATATGAAACCCTGTCTCTACTAAAACTACAAGAAAATTGGCTGGGCATGGTGGTGTGCACCTGTAATCCCAGCTACTTGGGAGGCTGAGGCAGGGGAATTGCTTGCAACCAGGGACGTGGAGGTTGCAATAAGCCGAGATCACAGGCCACTGCACTCCACTCGTGGGCAACGCACTCCATCTCAAAAAAAAAAAGGTGTGGGGAGGGATTGATAGTCCAAATGTCATGAGGTTAAGAATGCTCTTCAAGTGAAATTGCTTGGCTGCAAGATGGTTTTAATTAGACTGTTATAAAGACTTATTTTTCCTAAGCAGCATTTTATAGTTAGTAAATGAAATGTATGCCGAAAGTGCTAAGCAGAAATCTCCCTAACCACAGAGGTGTTCAATAACCAGATTCAAATAACATGGAAAGTACCATCTGTTCTTCGTTTTCAGCATGAAAAAGAGGGATTGAATGACTGAGATTTGCTCCAATTTCGACGGTGTCTGTGTGTGTGCGTGTATTTTTTTTTAATTTAAAAAAGTTCACCTGGTACTTCATAGAAACTTGAAATTGCAGTAATATGAGCAACGCTGTGAAAACACATGTTTCTACATTTATTTTAACCAGTTCCACTTTCATTTAAAAGATTTCCAGAAGCCCAGCCATTGAACACTTTATAATGGTTATACAGTTCCTGCAGGCAATCACAATGAGCGGTCAGCTTTTCCAAAGGTCTCACTATTTAGTCAGTACGTGAATTATTCTGTCAATTTTCTCCCTGGAGGCAAGGAGGGGAAAAGGCTCTGACGCTAACTCTGGTCAGCGTTTATCAGTTAATCTAATTGTGTGAGATATAGCTATGGGCTGGTGTTTACTATACATAGAGACCTTGTTCTTGTTCAGAGCTGTAATCTAGGATTGTTGGTAATGAGGAAAATATTCTTTTAAGGGTAACTTTTGAGTCTTTGACTTTTAGACACTAAGAATCTTGGTTCTGAGTTTAGTTAGAGCCCTGGGTAAAACATTATCCGGCCTTTGTTTGAGGTCTTTTATTGAAGCTAATGACTGGGCTTGTGCCTCCCTGAGATAAATGACATTATCTCTGAGTGGACTGACAGGAAACAGACATGTTAATGGTGAAGCTGCGGGGAGGATCTGCTTGGGTTCTGACAAAAGAGTCGAGAAAGGGACCCCTGGTTGTGGTCATTAACACATAATGCATTCTTGCTCTTCCTAAGAGGCCCTTGATAATTGGAAAGCTATTTTAGCCACAAGCACTTAAATCATAAATCTACTACTCCTAGTTCCTTTGCATTCTTAAAAGTAGTAATGTGTTTTTTGTTAACAAGTGTGTGATCTGGTTTTTTAACGTGGTGGCAGTTCTAGGCTGCCTGGGTAATGACGTGTGGGAGAGCTGCATATTGAACTGTTTTGATCAGTTCAGATTCTTTGTCTTTCAGCACTGCTCAGCCATCCCTCTACTTTAATAAAGTGAAAAAGTGGGTATGGAGCAGAAAAGAAGCCATTTTTCTGTCTGAAGATGTCTTGTGAAAGGGGGATAAAATTCGTTTTGTAAGATTTTGTGCAGTGATTTGAATGCGATGAAACCTGACTTTTGGAGTGTATGTTTTCAAAAGTCATGGGTATAATTCAGTTTCAGTGCAGTTTAAACTCTCTGCTTCTTGAACAAAGATAATTGCCATGTTGAACACACTCTAGAGGTGTAGAAGAGGTGAAAGGATCATGTTATTCTATTCTTTAATATTAAGCACTGGAAGTTTTTCATAGTAATTACTGCAGTACAACATAGTTTTGATTGCCAGCACTCTGAACTTGCCAGCAATCTGAACATCAAGGGTTTTGCTTGAATACTAAACAGTTTATTCCTAAATTACTTGTATTATGTTCTTGTGTAATGTGGAAGTCAGAACTAAAGAAATACTGGGCTATCCTTGTTAGCAGCATCTTAGGGAAAATAAATAACCCTTCTTTGCTAGGATTGTTGTCGATACATGATCATAATACCCTCCTAATGTAGTCATTGAAGATTAAAGGGATGGAGAACAGGTGAGCTCCCTGCCTCAGTAATGACTTGGGTTGTCATTAGAGAGTAATATATGTATGATATTGGTGCCCTGTAACTGATATTTCGTAGATGTGTGTGTATATAAATGTTGTAATCGCATATACAGATGTTGCATTGGGAGTATTTGGTTAGTATGATATTTAGTCTTTAAAAAATCTTCACTGGTGGTTTCACGTTCCACTCTGCTGCAGTTATATGGACCTCTCCCTCTGTGTCTAATTCTCTCTCCCAACTGCAATTTCACTAGTGACTACTTGCTCCCTGTCACAAGTTCTTTTTAATTTCAGCTCAGGGTTTTGGCAATGGGAACAAAGCCTTTGCAACTGAATGAAAGGTTGTTAAACTATTCATAGTTGATTGACCATCAGTTGGGCTGTTTGTAATGTTATTTTGAGAGCTCAAAGGATATGCAAGACAGCGAGACTTAGCACTTTGCTCCTAAAGCTGAATTTTGCATATTTGCTAAATTTTGCTTAGCAATACCTTTGGGAATGTAGTACAAAAAAGAATGGGTTTTGCCTTAAGAACTGAGATGATCACAAAGCAAATACTTATATTTTGATAGGTCAGTGGGCCTTGAACCACAGGGATCTCATCTGGTATGCAGAAGGCTTTTCCCCCTAGTGAAACTAAATGAATTCTAAAAGGTATATATTATAATTGTAATAGATAACTCAAAGGAAAGGGTGTTTCACTTAGAACAAATGGGTTTGAAATGATGAACTAATACTTCCGTGGATTTTTCAAAGCCATTTTCTCTTCTCTCTTATCTCCACCCCTGACCTAGTTTGATTATTATTCACTGTGACTGTTCCAGCCCAACCACTGATCTTTCTGCCTCCTGGGAATCCTCATTGTCAGCTAGCACCTTAAGAAAAATGTGCCTACAGGGACATTTAGGCATATTCCAATAATGCCATATGAATACGGCTTTTACAGTTTAAAAAGCAAGTAAAAATATATTGATTATATTTTGTGTTGTACATAATGATTTCAGAAAACAGATACTTAGGTTGTGGGATTGGCTTATTATGTTAACCAGAGAGCAGATGGCATGGTGCCACAGATGTATAATTTTACTTAAAGGGACGTTTAAGGTTTTGATGTGTTTTCTTTTCCTCTTATTTCCCTGATGGCTTCTTTTTATTGAAGGGTAACTTAAGGAGACCTGGTAGCAATTTTACTGCCTTCTCCTGACAGTTTGAAATAATAGCTTGGTCTTTGGTTGCACTGATCTTCTACCAGTCAACTCGATTCTGGTTTTTCTCATGTGGCACAGAATTTTTAAAAAAGTGTTTGTAGAATGTTTTAAGAAGTGGACTCTTTTATTTGCCTCAATTAGCAACAGACGACAAAGTTCCAATTGGTCATACTTTCATAAACTCTTGGAAGTCACTGTTTGTCCTTTTGATTAAAGAAAATTCATGGTTTAGTTTCCTAGGAAAGCACATCTGGCCCTCTGGCTGCTTTTGGTACACCTTTTTGTCCTTCGCATTCATCACTGAAGGTTCAAAGGTTGTGTCTAAGTTGTTCCTAGTTAGGTTAGAAAGTGTTCCCCATGCTGGAGGAAGTGTACCTTTTTAAAATTTTTTAACTATACTCATCATGTGTTTGAATTCAATTGTCATAAAAGTACCTTTTGTTTTTGTGCCTAAATTTTAGTTTTATCTATTCTTCACCTCAGACATCATCAGGATGAGTTGGAAAGCATCTTCTAACTTTTTTTCTTTTTTGAGACAGAGGGAGTCTTGCTCTGTCGCCCAGGCTGGAGTACAGTGGCACGTTCTCGGCTTACTGCAACCTCCACCTCCTGGGTTCAAGGGATTCTCCTGCCTCAGCCTCCCGAGTAGCTGGGACTACAGGTGTGTGTCACCACGCCCAGCTAATTTTTTGTATCTATAGAAGAAACGGGGTTTCACCATGTTAGCCAGGATGGTCTCGATCTCCTGACCTCGTGATCCGCCCGCCTTGGCCTCCCAAAGTCCTGGGATTATGGGCTAGAGCCACTGAGCTCGGCTGGCACCTTCTAACTTTTTTTTTCCAAAGTGTGCAATAGCCAGACCAGATTACTTCTGGATTTCCTGTCACTTCCTTGGCTGATTTTATGGATGGCTCATTTTAAAAACAACAAAAATGTTTGAATTGGAAGGGTTGAAGCCTTGGGTTTTCATTCTTCATGGAAAACTGTTTATTTGTGTGTGGTTCACCACAGTACATGGATAATGCTATCAAATCTGTGCTTTATTACAGGCTTATGACTAGCACAGCAGCACTTCAGTTATGTGTTCCTGTGCTTTAGTTCTTTGCCAACTCTTTTGTGATGGAAATGAAATTAGAACTGAATCTTTGCAGCGAAGGGGAAAATAGGCACAACAAATAGAAACTATCCCTTGAGCCAGTTAAGAAGTAAGAAGTGGTGATTAACATGTTTTTTTTTTTTTTTCTTCAAAGTAAGTGAAACACAGAGGAAACTACTTCCATTTAGCTTTTCCGTGAAGATAGGTGGAAGAAGAGCTGAACACTGAGAAGTGCTGCAGCTAGACTCTATCTTATCCCCTTGTATCGTTTGACATCTTAAGTAGTTGAAAAGCGATTCGTATTCCCAAATCTTTAAACTTCTCTGAAGGTGTAATTTGAGTTAAATAGTATTGTTTTCTTCTGCTCTCCAAAGGGAACAACATGATGTTAAAACAGAGCAATTGAGCCTCTCCGCATCCAACTCCATTTGGCCAATTGTCTCCATTTACATTCCTTGCCCAAATCTTTCACCAGCCTTTCCCATGATGCCGCAGCAGATGCCAGACACTGAAGTAGAAAGCGAGCAGCTGTTTCCAAACATTACTCCATTGCTGTATTATCCTCCACAATCTGCTTTCTTTTGCTCTCCCCTTCCCCCATTCTTAAAATAAAGAAGCCTTCTCTCCCTTGGACTTTCGCATCCTCCAGTTGATCAGTACGCCGGTTTTCTGTCTTATCAGTGGCGCCAGGTTCTTCAGCAGGTCGGTTGATTGTTCTCTCTGGGAGCAGATGGAGGGCCCTGGGCTCCTGGAGGCGTGGCCGCTGCCCCCTCAGGCCCGGGGATGCGCGCTCCCGACGGGGCGGCGCGGACGTGCAGCCGGGGACGCGCCCCTCTTCCCGCCGGGAACCCGTTTATGGCCCTGAGCGCTGTAAATCTGTCAGCTCTTCACGACGCCTTCACCTCTTTCTTCATTTGCTGCAGCTTCTAGTTTGACAACGTTCCCCTGAGGCAGAATTCTAATCTGCTTCCAATTAGTTGCAAAATGTGACTGAAATTTCCACATTATGACTGCTGTTTTACTTGCACGCACACATCTAGAAACAAATTAATGCTCTTGAATATTTATTTTTTGAGCCCTTGGATTTACTTTAAGAGGAAGAGTTTCCAACTGTTTGGAATGACTTCCAGGATTTGCATTCCCCCCACCCCCCAAAGCCTCACATACTGGGTACATTAAAACAAAACCAAACCAGGATGGTTGCCTGCCTCTCCCTTAAATAAGCCTTTCCTATCTTTTCAAGATTTCCCAAAATGTATTGCATATGTTTAAGTAATGCAAATAAATTTTGTAGTATTTCTAAAATAAACAAAACAAGGATGTTTGGCTAAGGAAGGGTCCCTATGCAGTGTTTTAATAAAAGAGAAATACACACACATTTCCTTCTAAATATAGCTTAAGTATACTTTGGCCAAAACACAAAGACTTTTGTTCCACAAGTTTAAATTCTTTCATTCAATATTCAAAAGCTGTAAACCCAAATAAACGAATTGGGTGATTAATTGGCTTGGCACACATCTAAGGGCGGCATTAAAGAAGTCACTGTGGGCATTAATGTGTACCCAAGTTTTTGTGTATGTCTCTGGAGCACACCCTCCCCAAGCGAGCAGCTGGGGTGGTTTTGCTGAAATCAGTATAGTGGGTGTTTCCTGTGACTTTGGAGTTTCCAGTCCCTCTGTCAGCCACCAGTGTTAGGAGAATGGACCTGGCTCTGGGCTTTGGGGTGGTTCTGTTTGAGGGTGATCATCAACCCAACTCCATTTCTTCTCTTTAAGTGATTTTTTTCTTTTGAAACAAAGATGTTGATCTTCCTAATTATATGTAAATATTAGAGTTCTTTAAATGTGGATTGCTGAGAATGTCAAGTTAAGACAACCATTTTATTACTTGCCTTAAAGACTGCTTTCTCAAGTACTGGAGAATTTTAGTACCAAGGCAGTGAATCCCTGGATTAGTGTTTGTGAAAAGGTGCTACTCTTAATGTAAACAGCGAAATTTACTGATGCATTTTATAGTAGAATTAGTCTTCAAGCATCTTGGCAGATTGATATCAACAGTAATAATGGGCTTTAAAGAGGTGTGAAGGATTTTATTGATGGTAAAGTGGTTATGTTGATCGCATCTCTCTGTATTAGCTTCTGAGTAACAACTGCACGTGTAAATGGATGCAGTTTTTCTAAACGTTTTTATAATATATAATCATAAAACCCTATATTGATTGATTTATAACGCTCTTTTATGTGCTACTTTGAATTTCTAATCAGGAGGTAAAGAATTTATTTCATTTTGTTTAAACAAAACCTACTTGAAATTATTTATTAGATATATAGAGTATACATTATTTAAGTGATTTTCTAAAAACTTATTTTTAGATATGCCAAAATTCCACAAAGAAGTAGGAGTGCTCTTTCTATTGCTTCCTTTCTTCTTGCTCAATGACTCGTAGTAGAAAAAACAGCCAGATTGAAATCCTTAAAAATTTAAAATGTTGGGCCTTCAGATTGTAGAGACCTCCTGGGTTAAAAAAAAAAAAAAAAGAAAGAAAAGAAAAGAAAATAATAGTGGCCCTGTAGTGAAATGCTCACAATAGCAATGATTGTGGTAGCCCCTCAAGTCCTGGGGTTCACTAATTATCCTTTAATGAGGTCAGTCTGCCCTAGCTTTTTGCCTACCTTGGGCGGAAAAGCCCACAAGACAGTTGGAGTTCAAGTGGATCTTGCTGTATTTGCAACTTAGCATAACTGCTTTGAAAACCCCCAGGGTGCTTAATTGGGGCCTGGGCATTTTTGTTGGAGGGGAGACTACACACAGCTCCTCATTGTGCTTGTAGGAGCCACTGTGCATCTTGGAAGCATTACATGCTTTTGTTGATGGTGTATAGTTTTATAAACTCCAAATGAGCTTATTGCTTTTTAACCATTGGGAGAGCTAAATAATGGAAGAACCTAGAAGTCTTTGGGTTGGGCAGCCGCCAAACAGTTCCAAAAAAAAAAAAAAAAAAAAAAAAAAAGAAAGAAAGAAAAGAGAGAGAATGAATGGTTTAATTGTAGAGCAAACCATTTGTTTACAGATTAACATTTACTTGGTCACCAAATCCTATGGATGAGGTGAAAGAATGAGGCCATAAGGTACAGAAATTGAATGCCCAGTGTTATGTTTTGTGATCATGCTCAGCTGTTTTTACTCTTTTTTTTCCACAAAGAAGGCAGCGGAAGAATGAATTGTTTAATGGTGAGAACTGCTGGCCAAGTGCACTTTTTAAGCTGTACAGAGGGAGGGAAGAACGGGAGTCAGGTTGCTATTTCTGTGCTGCCTAGTCAAGAAGCAAATATCATAACGTTCTTCTGGCTGAGAGAAGGGCTACAAGACTGTTGCTGAATCTTCCTGTTTGCTCGCTCAAGGAGGAATGGTGGTGGTGGAGGCAGGAGTAGAAACTAGGAAAAAGGTGTGTGGGAAAGAGGGTGGTTGGGTAGAGCTTTTGTTGGAAGGGCCCTAGACAATGCATTCTCTTGAATAATTGGGACCAGTTATGGAAATTCCCCACAATTTCATTCGTTAGTAGCCCTGTTTCTGAATAGAAAGGGACTCTCCAGCAACAGCAGTGAAGTGGTACAGCAGTTTTGGAGGGGAGAAGCTGTTGCCTGGAAGCCTGAATGTCAGTATGTCTTTTTTTTTTTGACAAACAAACGAACAAACAAAAAACCCTTTTCTAAGGACTAGAAGACCAGAAATCATGGCATTTGTCCATGTTGTAGTTGTAGTTTGTCCTTCTAATCTTCTTGTGAATAAATAGGTTTCTGGAAAGGGCTACTATTGTTTCTAGAAGTATCAGTCTAAACACTCCCCCACTCACTGTTCTTATTTTTAGGTTAATCTTGGGAGTGAAACTCTTCATCTTAATCTGCTCTTTTGTATATAAACTGTCTCCTTTTTTGATAACTCAGGATGCTTTGTTGCTACATGGTGAGGAAAAAGCCCATTTCTTCTGTAGCGTTAAAATCGTTTATTGATACATATTTGATACATTGAACTCTAAATATCTTAATTGGCCTAAAGTGGTCTTGTTTTGTTTTTCTCCTTGCTTTAAGTTCTGGTATTATTTATTATTCTGGTATCATGATTTTTGAGTCCAGACAATGGCTGATGAGGGGTGGCGGACAAGAGGAGGATTGTAGGAACTGAGGAGGCAGGGAGAGTGTAAGACATTGATCTAAGTAGTTTCAGTCTTGTCACACTGCTACCTACTTTTTAAAGTGCTACTGCTCATTCCTGAAGCTTTCCTGGTAAGATTTTCCATATTAGTGAGGAAAGAGACTGGATTTTACTTCTATGAATGTCTAAAATTCCAAACTTCTTTTTTTCCTGAGACGGGGTCTCACTGTGTCACCCAGGCTGGAGTGCAGTGGCATGATCTCTGCTCACTGCAACCTCCAACTCCCGGGTTCAAGCAGTTCTCCTGCCGCAGATTCCCCAGTAGTTGGGATTACAGGAGTGTGCCACCACGCCCGGCTACTTGTTGTATTTTTAGTAGAGACAGGGTTTCAACATGTTGGCCAAGGCTGGTCTCAAACTCCTGGCCTCAGGTGATCCCCCAGCGCTCGCCTTCCCTAAGTACTGTGGTTACACGTGTGAGCCACCGTGTCTGGCCTAAAACTCCAAACTTTTAAATCTCATAAAACTTAACACTGCCATAGTCACTAAGTGAACTAAATTTGTGTAAACACATTTTTTTAAAGTTATGCTAAAAAAAAAAAAAGCTTGTATTAACAGTGGGAAAACCTTCAGATGCTCACCTGAGTGTGATTTCTTCGGTTGTTTGAATGTTAACGTGTGCAGTCTAGGTTTCCCTTAGCAAACCAAAAGAAAAGTGCAAAGATAAACATGGCTTCTCTTAATATTTGTGACAGGCTAGAGGCTTTGCCATCTTGAAATTGCTCTATGATTTTAACCCTTCCTGGAAAGAAAGCTTTTTACCACATTGTCAGTGCCTCCACAATATGAATACTTCTGAGGATTTAAAAAACAGCCCCCCACCAAATGTACAATTTATTTTGGTAAGTTTAATCTATGCTCACACATAGCGTAAAGAATGGAGAGTAAGCGCTGAGCTTTCAGCCCCTCAAAATTTAGTATTGACAAGAGTTCTTGTCTCTTGCTTCTCCGCTGTAACCTGTTCTGTATACTATAGACGTGGGTCGTTATTGTTGCCCATATAAAATGTGAAAGGATAAATGCCAACCTAAGACCCTCTGAAAATGATTTTTATAAACCTGTTTACATCGAAGTCTAATACTCTCTGTCTTAGCTCATATGAAAGGCTTTAAATTCTCTTTTGAAAGACTAACATTTGCATCCATAAGCCTGCTGTAAATTCCTGTACAGTATTTCCTTGTGAAAACCAGTATTTTCCATTTACTTGGAGTCAGTCAGTACAGCTGCGAGAGTTACTGGCAGCAGATAATCCTGTCTAGGTTTAGATTGGTAGAGATCCTGTAATATCTACAGCTATACACTGGTGACTGGATGACAACACAAAATGACTTGCCCTTGTTGGATTTCAGCTCTGTAAGTATATTGGATCTTAAGCATGTTAAATCATCCTTTTTTGACACTTACAGTAAACTCTGAAGAGGGTCGAAGGCTTTCACACTTGAAAAATCTAGAAAATGTCCTATGTATTCAAATCACATTTTTGCTGGTGTTTAACATATAAACACAGATCTCTTCAAATCACTTGTGCATTTGGTGAGCAGCTTGCCAGCACTCACCAGAAGCAGGAGGAAGTTAAATGGTGGTGAATAAATAGGTACTGTTTGTATCTTTTGTCTGTAAAATGAATTCTGAAAGGGTTTTGAATAATTCCACTTTGGCTTTGTTGTTCCTTCAGGATCTCAAGAATAATACTAATCGTACAAATCTGTGCAGTGAGGTGGAGTTGCTCCCATGTTATTTGAGCCTGAATGTGCGTGCGTAATTGGAGAGATTGTTGGAGAGAGAGTGTTTTGCTGTGGTAGATGTGGTTTAAATCCTAGCACTGAGCATAGCATTTACTTTCTCAGCTTACCCACAAAATCTGTGACTAATTTAGTGAATGTGAAGATTTTTGTCCAGATGGTTAGGTTTAATTGTAAAAACTGGAAAGATTTCAAAGTACCCTTTTGGGGGAGTGCGGGAAACAACACGTAAACAACAAAAAAGAAATAAAAGTAACTACGGATCGCTAAATATAGCGTATATGTGTATTTTATATTTATAAACACACATAGACATCTATGCTTAAACATACACACATATAGAAGTACGGAATTTACAGTCAAGGAACAGCTTAAAGAATTTATTATAACAGCATGAACCAATACAATCGAGAAGAGAAGTAAATTTTAGTGTTTAAGGATTTACTATGTTTTGTTCTTAAGTGTTTCCTGAATTTGCATGTTTAGCCTTTCCTGGGCTCAGAATAGGTTTTCCTTCCAGCGTGTTAATAGACCACTTTCCTGCCACTGGCTATTCTTGGATTAGGGTCATTGTTAGGTATCTCACCAAACATTAGGGCAAAGATCCCTGTCACTCAGGACTTCCATTGGGTGGTCTTTCCTCTCCGGATGCTCTCCGAGGCCTGGGCCAGCCTGTTCTTCCCAAACTGCAGCTGTGAAGCTCAAAGAGGGAGTAAGCTTGCAAAAGAGACAGTGGGATGGTGATTAGTGTGCTAGGCCAGGATAAGCCTTCTTTTAAAACACCATGCATTCTTCTTCACACTTCTTGCATTTGATGGCCAGGCCAGAATGAGTACAATAATCGGAACTGATGCTATTAAAGCTACTCAGGACCTCCTCCTTCTGGTTGCTTTCTGTGCAGATGAGAGCTTAAAGCACAGAAATTGGTCTCCTCCCCCTTTGTAGAGTTAGAATACTGGTGACCTAAATCTTGGGCCCATAAATTAGCTTTGAAGTTGGTGGGCTAATAGGGTTCTATAGTGAATTTTATTTGCGTTACTTGGAATTATAAGAAGAGAAAGAAGAGTGATGTGTCACGGGGTTAGGAAATAGCAGGACAGCAGGTGAGGTTATGGAGCTGTAGATAAAGTTGGCATTGTTTGAGTGGGGAGGGTTTATGACACTATATAGTCTACAAGGCAAGCAACATGGGTATATTTCTTGCACTGGAGTGGAAATATGCCCAAATATTTATAAATCAACATATTTCATAATATTTAGGAAATATAGAGAAATGAGCTAAATGTATATGTATTTATCATAAATTGATTGCTGTAATATTTGATTATTGAGTCCTTAGTATTCAAAAATGGCTCAAGGAACAAGGTTGAGTTTGTCTTGAATGGTAGGGAAGATAAGCAGAAGGCCAGCCATGTAAAGATAGTGATTTCCAGATTATGGAAAATCTGTGTAGGATAGGTCAAGAGAAGGTGCTTCCTGTGGAGGAGTGAGTACTGTATATGTCTTTGAGGCCATTATTATTGCCAGTAGCATGGGAGAGCTAGATAAACAAAAGGTCAGCCACCCCAAAGCAGAGGTGATCTTTGTTTTGATCCCCTTGGCTATGTTCCTTCTGAAAATATCTTTCTGATAAGTTCCTATCCACCTAAAGCCTATTTTTTTTCCCTCCATTTATCAAGAACTTTGCCCTCCACCACCAACCTATTGATCCTTAAAGTGATTTTAAGATAGTACCTCTATCCCATCCTGAGTAGACTTTTAAAGACCAAGGTATGGAATTCAAAGATAGGGACTGGTCTGATAGGAGAGGCATAAGAGCTTTCCTGGTGTCTTAAGTCACACCTCTGGGCAGTTTTCTCTTCTGCCTATTGGTAATGCTGTGTTTGAAGAAAACCTCCTTTGTAAATGTTACTTAAGATACTTGGACATGGTAACAAGGTATAACTGATGAGGTTGAAGCTGTATCTGATGTGTGTGTGTGTGTGTGTGTTTTGGTTTTTTTTTTTTTTTTTTTTTTTTTTTTTGAGATGGAGTTTCGCTCTTGTTGCCCAGGCTGGAGTGTAATGGCATGATCTTGGCTCACCACAACCTCTACCTCCCGGTTTAAAGCGATTCTCCTGCCTCAGCCTCCCAAGTAGCAGGGATTACAGGCATGTGCCACCGCACCTGGCTAATTTTGTATTTTTAGTAGAGACAGGGTTTCTCCATGTTGGTCAGGCTGGTCTCAAACTCTTGACCTCAGGTGATTCACCCAACTTTGCCTCCCAAAGTGATGGGATTACAGGTGTGAGCCACCGCGCCTGACCCTTTGGTCTTAATTTTTTTTTTTTTGAGATGGAGTTTTACTCTTGTTGCCCAGGCTGGAGTGCAATGGCACAATCTTGGCTCACCACAACCTCTGCCTCCTGGTTTCAAGTGATTCTCCTGCCTCAGCCTCCGGAGTAGCTAGGATTACAGGCATGCACCTCCATGCCCGGTTTATTTTGTATTT